CCGGGGCGGTCCCGGGGCTGTACCGGGGCTGTCCCGGGCATGACCCGGGGCAATCCTGGGCCTTTCCCGGGGCTGTCCCGGGGCTGTACTGGGGATGTCCCGGGATTGACCCGAATTTGTCCAGGGGATGTCCCGGGGGTGTCCCGGCGCTGCCCCGGTGTTGCCACGGGCCTGTCCCGGGCCCGACCCAGGGTTGCCCCGGGCCTGTCCCGGGGCTGTCCCAGGGCTGACCCAAGGCTGTCCCGGGGTTACCCCGGGGCTGTCCCGGGGTTGTACCGGGGCTGACCCGGGGATGTCCTGTGGCTGTACCGGGGCTATCCCAGGGCTGTCGCAGGGCTGACCCGGGGCTGTCCCGGATTTGTCCCGGGGCTCCCGAGGCTGTCTCGGGGCTGTCCCGGGGCTGACCCGGTGTTGTCCCGTGGCTGTCCCGGGGCTGGCCCGGTGCTGTCCCGGACTTTCCCAAGGCTGACCCGGGGCTGTACCGGGGCAGTCCCGGGGCTGACCCGGGGCTGTCCCGGGTCTGTCCCGGGACTAACCCGATGTTGTCCCGGGGCTGTATCGGGGCTATCCCAGGGCTACCCCGGGAATGTCCCGGGGCAGTCCCGGGGCTGTCCCGTGGCTCCAATGATGCTACCCCAGGGCTGTCCCGGGGATGTCCCGGGGCTGTACCGGGGCTATCCCGGGGCTGTACCAGGGCTGTCCCGGGGCTGCCCCGGGGTTGTCTCAGGTTTGTCCCGGGGCTGACCTGGGGCTGTCCCGGGTTTGTCCAGGGGCTGTACCGGGGCTGGCCAGAGGATGTCCCGTGGCAGTCCCGGGGCTATCCCGGGACTGCCCCGGGTCTGTCCCGGGGCTATCCCGGGGTTGTCCCGGGGCTCTCCAGGGGCTGTACCGGGCCTGTCCTGGGGCTGACCCAGGGCTGCCCCGGGGCAGTCCCTGTGCTTTCCCGGGGCTGCCCCGTGGCTATAGCTGCCCCGAGACTGTCCTGGGGATGTCGCAGGGCTGTACCGGGG